TGTATGAATGCAAAAGGACGAATAAGTAATTCAGTTAAGAAGCTTTAACTTCTCTTTTTCTCCCGAAATGAAATAAAAAGCATCAAAATCATAAAAGTGAATGTTCAATAGAGACGTTCGTATCTGTGATGGCCTTCAAATATGGAATATGAAAGCTTATAAATGAAAGAAGAATAGGGTATGATGCTAGAGATTGGAAAGGAGGGGGGGGGGGAATCCCGAAAATGGACACGTTCGACAAATATTCTCAGTGAACTAGCCGTGACTATTCTATTTGAATGAAAACTATTTGGAAATTTGTTGTGCTTTTTTAGTCTAAAAATGGAAGCTTTTCTAGTTCTAACTAGATATGCTTAGGATGAGGTCAATCTGAATCATATTCAGAATGTGAATTACCGGATATCGGCTTGTTTTGGAGCAAAATGGAGAAGACGAAAAAAGAAATTGATGATGCATAACTTTCTAATATTTATGACCTCATTTACTTGTACTTGTTAGAGGCTTCACTCTCCATCTTACAGTCTTCATTCTCTCTCTCTCTCTCTCATTCACCGTCTCTTCTACCATATGATCAAAAACATAAAAGGACAACGAAAGCTTTCCTGAACAACTTGCTATGATAGTACATGATAGGAGCTCACAAAACAACTTTTTGTAGGTTAAAAATAATTATTTTCATGGAAGAAAGGACAACCGTAAAAGAGCAATTATCTTGTAGATTTTAAAATGAAAAAGGATTGAACTCCAGCAAGTTCAATCAACGGGTTCGAGGTCGAACACTTGCAATCACTCGGGATTTAAACGATTTCATTTTCGTCTTCTAATCAATCAATTGCCTTTCACGTACAATACGTGAGATGACTTATATATCTATGGAAGATATCTTCTTCAAACAATCATCTCTTTATTATTTCTCTTTTAAAAAACCCCATCAAACGCTTTTTTACGCAATGAACGCGAATGCGTTTTGCGTCCCCTTATTCGACTTCTCTTACGGCTGCGTATTTATCGTTCTCTTTGCAGATTGAACGACCAGAAGGAAACAAAGTTTTTGATGACAGTGGCGAGAAGAGTTGCCCTTGAAAGAAAAGAGACGACATCGATTGTTGGGCAAAGCAGTAACGTCTGGTCAGGTATTCTCTCGTCTTAAACGTTTTGTTCAATGTTAATTTAGCCAAAAACCTGGCTGGTCAACCATCCTCACGACATCACATACTTCAATTGCACACACACATACACACATATTCAAATGATTTTTCATTTTTTCTTTTCTTTACTCTCTGTTCTCATTGTTGCTAAAAGTTATTTTTGATTCTTCTTCACTTGTAAGCTTCTAATAGATTTTTCTATTAGAATCTACAAAAGAGTGTCTCTTGCAGAGCTTCAGTGACTCAGTTGCAACGTGACGGGGCCACAATCAAGATGAGATGAAATCCAGGGGAAAATGATGAAAAACGTTCTATGATTTTGCTGCTGCTGAATGCATGCAGAAAAAGGAAAACTTGTCAGTCGACAGCACTCCCCCCTAGAATCAGCAAAATCAGTCGTCAGTTGTCGTCGTGTGCGTGGACGAGACCGTAGCGTTGATCGAAGATGGTACGGGGTTAAAGGAAGAAAAGAGGTAAAACACAAATTGAAATTAGGATGACAATTCGAGGTCGCAAAAATCAGTCGAGAAAATTCGTCAGATGTGGTCCATCTAGAATTTGTGAGTCAAGGAGTAAAAGGAACTAGGTCTGGCCTTTTGTCAATTTTTGGACATCCATCCTATATTCAGAGAGTGACCAGTCGGTAAAGTTTGTTTGATATTCGTTCAAAATGTTATGAAAGAGGGTTATGATCCAAGAAGAGAGAGAAAAAAGAATGACAAAAAGTTGTTTGATAGGATGAGAAGAAGAAAAAGGAAAAGATCATTGATTGATAGGGCACAACAAGGTTGTTTCATATGTGGAGCTGGAAGTCAAAAAAGGTATTAAAGCCACTTTGGAGATTTTTTTTGCCTCTTTTCAGGTTTATGAATAGGTTTTCATGGAGTTTCCTTAGATCATTATCTGTTGGTTTTGCCAGCTTAGAGAGTGTGAAGAATAGGTAAAGCTGGATCTCTTCAAAAACATTCTTTAAACTGATGGCTTATGAGGTAGTTGTTGGGAAAACAAGCTGTTCTCACCAATTGCCTACTTAACTGTGTTAATGACCAAAAAAAGTCTCAACCATGCATGGAAATACGGGAACAGAATAGGTGGTAATGGAAAAAATGCCTTAACAATCGTTTTGATAAAAGTTCCGATGAGTTTTTTTCTAAATTTCGGGAGCTAATTTTGCGTCTTTTAACGATCCCTCGAGAAAATGGAACTTCAATAGCAAAAACAGCTTGTAACTCAAGAGTTACAATTCGTTTTGTCCTATGATCAATCCCACAGAAAAGGTGTTTCAAACTATCTCAAGAGTCTTGTCGTCATTGACGTTACTAGCTTCTGCCATCCTTGACGATGACTACGACAATCGTCGGCGTTTAAGGAGTCAAAATGATTATTAAAGTCAAAATGAATGGGTGAGGAAATAAAATGTAAAAAAAAAAGGAATCATAGGATATAGTAGACATAATGAATAGAATAGATGAGAATGGGCTTACCTGTATGTTTGAGAACCAACTGCTGATGAAGATAAATAACAACAACAACAACATGTTGATTGGCGGAAAGCCAAATACAGAATATCTGAGGTTATTGGCTCCAAAGGAGAAGAGTAAAGCAGAGCGGGCTCCTGAAGATGGAGAAATGAGTGAGGGAAATGACCAAAGACACGACACAACAATGTTTATAAACGGTTTAAGCTGAAAGAACTTTGAAAAGATATTGAGGTTGACCGGTGAGAAAGTCCGGCATGAAGATCTCTCTTTCTGGACTCCTGTGTTCCTTTTAAAGAACGACGAAGTGTGGGGGTATGATGGGTGGAGAGAGAGCAGGAAATGCGCCAGAAAGGAGGCGGCTAGCGTGGGCGGTATGTGGTATGGGCGGCCCTGATTTTGTAGGTGTCTCTCCCACTTATTCTCTCTGTCTCTCTCTCTATCTTTAACTATCTTTTCTCTTTACTGTCCCTTCTTTTGCTTCGCAGTGGGGGTATGAACCGAAGGAAGAAAACGGTGTAGACGTTATAGCTAGCGCGATGACGGTCAGAAGGACGTCAGTTTCAGGTCTTGCTGATAATGGAGGTATCAGTCAAACGATGTAAACGGCAGAAAATGAAAAAAAATGAAAAGTAGGGGAGAAATGAGAGAAAGAGAAGGAGTGTCTTCTCGTCCAGTATTGACGTTAGATGAGACGAACAGTACGGAGCCTGGAGATTTCATAAATCCACACACGAAAAGGGCATTTGTTTGTTTGATACATCTTATTTTAGATATTGAACTTGTTCATAAACGGTTTGAAACCGGGAAAAAGCCGAGAAAGTTCGTGACAGGCTATATATGGAACATCGCCTAAGGGCAGAAACAATTCAAGTGTCTACTTAAGAATATTCAGAAAAAAAGAATATATTACATCATAAGTAAACTGGATGTGAATCATCTTCTATCAGATTTTTTCTTTTTTTCAAACTCAAACAACATTCAAATTAATTTTCAACACAAGTTGTTTCGGAGAGAAAATGAGTTTGGGTGTGGAAACAGATAAAAAGTGAGGTTGAAGAATGTAACAAGCAGCCACATTATTCTCTTTCTTCACATAACCATATGTGTTTGGTTCAGCTTACACGTGATTCACTCACGTTCATTATGTATATTGTTATCATCATCATGTGAAAAGTATGGTATTGAACGGCTTTTTTTTCTTATTTCTGTTCTCATTACATCTTATTATCTGTCGGGAATGATGAAGAGAATAGTATAACAGTTAGTTAGTTATACGATATACTATACGATATAGCCCATTCAATTTTTTTTTGTATGAAATTACGATAATCGTTTTCAGATAATATTCATTCATCTATTAAATGACTCTTTTTAGTTAAAGAGAGAGGGAGAGACGCGTATAGATGAAGCAAGTTTACCGGAAAGATATCCAATGAGTGTGTGTTGTACAAGGAAAGTACCTTGTGAGAGTGAGAGTGAGAGTGAGAGTGTGAGAATGAAAGTGTAGAATGATGCTGAGAAGAAGAAAAAAAGTTTCAAACAGTCAGAGTGAATGATAAGAGTTGAAGTTATGAAAAAAAAAGTGGAAAGAAGAAAACAACCGTTCACCTCTTGAATGTTTTTTAAAAATAAAAAATCTGATCGTTAACGTGAGATGTTCACGTGAACTTTTACGTGTCGCATGAGACCACGTTAAAACAGGTCGCTGTATGAAATGAATAAAAATATTGTTAATAGATGTCATTTATGATCAAAAAATGTAATAAAAGTACTTTCACTATATATTCTAAGGATAAGAGTTCTTGAAGAAAAGAGGAATGTTCTTTTTGAACTTGAAAAGGAGAGGTAGGTGGAAGAGGAGGGTTAATTATCATATGAAAAGACATCCTATCGTAGGCGTTGAATGATCATTTAAGTTGGTGCGTGACAGTTACAGTTACACTCATTTATCAAATATATTTCATTTATATATTTATTTTAAAATAAGAAATCAAACTATCACCTTTGACACATACCACATACAACATGTAAAGACCCTTTGATCATATGAGAAGAGGAGGTTAGATTGCTCGTCTCTTTCACTCGAATGAGGCGTGAAATCAGGTGGACGAAAGACGGCACATCAGAAGAAAAAAGTATTTTTAAAGTAGAAAAAAAAGAAGATTGAAAACACATACAAGTTTCTTTATTTATTTATTCAACGAAAACGATCAAAAAGACATAAATGAACATGATATTCTGAATATTCTTATCTATTTTCTCATTGAAATAATTCATTTTTCAAACTAAATACTAAATTATATTTCAAGAGAAAATGATACTTTCAGCTGTTTGTTTTTGTTTATAAATGAAAGAATGAAGTAGTTTGAAGTTATAATTCGTCATCATCTGAATCTTTACGTGTACAATAACATGCCAGTCCAACTAATATTGCGAAGAAGAATAACGAACAGAATCCTAACAAAGCTGCGGCAAACTGTAATTTATGAATTGATTAGTCATCACTTAAGCATACTCTCTCTCTCTCTCTCTTAAGCTAAAAGAAAATTCATTTATCGTACCTGCCAATTGCCAATATCTTTATCTAACTGAGATATTCTTTGAAGATTTCCTACATCAACAGCATCTAAGGATCGTGCATACCAATTCCAGAATACATGGCCTTCCCATCGATAACCAACCTATTTATAGAATTAATGCACTTTCATCTATTACTGTATGCTGCTCACTTCCATTGTTGGACTGTCTGTTATACTCAAGTAGTTCAACTCATTCGAATCTGCTGAAGTCCAATTGAAATTGAATCCTGAATTTTCAGGTGTTGGATTTCTGAAAACAACAAACATCAAGTGAACTCATACAATAGTGAAAGCGAAGAGGAACAGGAAGTATGAAGGAATATAACGAACCCGTAACGAGCGAAATTAACAATGAGATCGGCAAATATTTCGACGACTCGTTGATCCAGTTGCCAATTCATATCCTTTCGCCGATTTAGGAATCTCGGAGTTATATTAAACAAATGTAATCGGTCAACACCATGAAATGCTCCTTCAAATGAATCATCATTAGAAAATAAATATTGAAAAGCTGCTCACGGTCATAATCATAGAAATTTTCGCTGATATGATCAAAGGAATAAAGAAAGACAGGAGCTTTCTGTTTCGCATAGTAAGTAGCCAATCTTGAAGCGGGAGCGTCGAACCAGAAATGAGAATACATCTGAATATTTGGTAATTGTAAACATTGAAATCTTCCTATTTCTTTACATTTAATATTGAATTGAATAGAATCGATTCTGACATGGAAGGATCTGTTTTCGTCCAAACATATTCATGCTTACAACCCTTAAATGGAACGCATAAAGATATTTCAAATGAATAATGACTTACTTGAGCTATTAACCTGTGATTCTGAAATTGTTTGTAGCCTAAAGTCAGATTTTCTGCTAACTTCTCAGCTACACTCGGAGTCAACGCACTGAAGTTCACATTCTTCTCATTCAGAATTACTATAATAGATTAATATTAATTATAATATAGAATATAATTAAATATACATATTCGAAGAGAGCTTTCATCCTTAGTTGTTCCAATCATTAATGGAATCTTTTTGCGATGTCGAGCTAAATCTTCGGGAATATCAGGTATGATACCTCCTGGACCATCAACAACAGGCACAAACTCTTCATAATCATCCCAATGCAACCTCTGTTAACCATATGATGAAGGACAAACTATTTCCTTTTCAATACCTTATAATCTAATATTTCTTCTCTCATTCGTTTACGGAAGCAATCCAATAATTCCGATGAATTGAACGACCTTAAATACATAAAAATCAAAAAACGATAGAATGAAAAAGAAATTTTTGAGTGGAACAACCGTTCATCACTTTCTCATCAAATGAAAATGATGATTTACGTGAATAGTTATTTCACGTGACATCAATTAGAATAAATCGGCTTTTCTCACCTGCATTGCATTTTTTCATTTAAAGCCCAGGTCGCATTCACGGCTGTCTCTCTTACAATGCCTGGCTGTAATGCTGATCCTGACATCAACAAAACTTTATGAAATAAACCTGTCAATAATAATATTATTATAATTCACATATGTATGATTAACCTTCAGCACGCGGAGATAAAGCTAATATGGATGCACATGATGCTCCACTACCTGTTCCCATCAATAGAATATTTCGCGAATCACCACCAAACACTTCGACATTTGCCTTTAATTATTATAATTATACTCATATAGATGATGATGATGATGATATTACTTTAACCCATTTCAATGCCCATATTTGGTCCCAAAGACCAATGTTACCAGGGAGTATTTTATCACCCGTTGATAAGAATCCTGCAATGTATCAAAAAACTAAAATTCATTTCATACAATTAGAAATATAGGAAAGAAGATGTCTTTCGTTCAGATATTGATCTTCTCTTTAAACGACTCTCTATCTCTCTCTCTCTCCCTCTTTCTTTTTCTCTCTCTTTCTTTCTCTTACAACTAGTAGTACTGAAATCTCTTTGGAGAAGAAAGTGGAGATGAAAAAAAATAAAATAAAAAAAAAACATATGCTTCCTTATAGATTGCTGACGTCATCAACAAGATATTTGACATGCAAGTCATGGCGAAACGAAGACTCGAACGATGACTGAATTTGAGAGGGGGGAAATAAATTGAATGAAAATAGTTTGAATGGCCTTCTGATTGAGAGAACAAAAAGAAATGTGAGCCATGAGCTAGTTGATTGCAGATCCATGTTATAGGATGATAGGATTAAACAAATCAAAAATGAACTGACCCAGAGGTCCTAATCGATAATTAAAGGTAACGAAGACGACTTTTCGTGATACGAAGTTATCCAGAATTGCTTGTTGAGGAAAATCAGATCCTCCACCGGATTGAAAGTTTCCTCCATGAATGAGGACAATGACAGGATAAGTATCATTCGTATATTGATACTGAAATAGAATGACATATGAAATTGATTGTGTAAGCTATGCTTGTTACAGGAGTGGGTGAGAAGACATTTAGATAAAGGCAATCTTCTGAGAAGTGAGCTGAATGACGTTCAGGTTCAGTGATTTGATCATTTACTCGTTGGACACACATTGCCGAGTATTGCGTTGCATTCATAACACCTCTCCATTTAGCAGGTTCTTTGGGTAACTTTAATATTTTTGAATATTAATTGGATGAGTGGGCGAGATAGATTTACCTGAAATCGCAAATAACCCACAGGTGGCATAGCATAGGGAATTCCTTTGAATACAGTATAGTCTTCTCCCTTGATGATCTATAAAGTAACTCATTGAGTAAGAGAAGATGCATTATTCTTCCTAACCAATCGTTCTCCTCGTATTGAGCCAGAATTGATGGTTAATTCAAATGGTGAAATGTGTCGAAGCTTTTGAGTTGTAAAAGGAAACTCAAAAAGGACCATCAGCGAGCTGAGCCAATAAGCTCGCCACAGTCGACACATTTCCCGAATACAATGTCAATTCGAGAAGTAAAGAAAACAAAGACAAATTGTTTTTTTGTTTTTTTTTTCCAAAAGAAAGGTTTAACTTCAGATTGCCTATTCTCTAAGCTGATCCGTTGATGTTCCTATTCGCCATATAAGGCAACTACACATCTCTTTGAAAGTAAACTTAATTCCCAAAAATTCGCTCACATAAACCGTTGAGAATTTTTGAAAAATCTACGGAAAGTAAAGCTATACTACATCGAGGGAGAACGGTAACCTGTAAAAGAGAAAAGAAATTAGAATATCATGGAACATGCTTCAGCTTCATCTTGTTCGGTAGGAACAAAAAAAAGATAAAAAAATGAAAGAAATAAAAAAAAAGAAAAGAAACTGCCAACAGAATTGAGTCAATAACGACGAAGGGAGAGAATGGAAATTCGACAAAGTGCCTCAGACGGCAGATTACAGCCGATTTCGGATAGGAACTGAATCAGCATTTCAGTCAATGCTCTACAGATAATGATTAAAAAGTAAGATGGAAAAGCTTAAAAAACGAGTTGAGAAAGTGGAATGAGCAATCTGGTTCAACATGCAAGGCTTCTAGTAGTCTGGAATCTCTGTCATTTCTGGGGAAAAGATAGGCTGACGACGAAGCTCTCTGGGGAACTGCAAAGCACAACAACCCCCCAAGAATCTGCTTCGCCTTAGCATCTTCATCCGACTTCTCTATTTCTTTCTTTCGGCTTTCTTCATGTTCTCTCTGTTCCTCTCTATTACATGCTCTCTTTCGAACTTCCTTTTTGGTCAGATTTATAAGAATATATATAGATGAAAGCAGAACAAATGGATCGAGAGAAAAAAAGATTTCAATGACATGATAGATCATATGAATATGAGAGATGTTAGAGATATCAAAAGATACATTAGACTAATGCTATAACCTAGAGAGTGTACAGACAAAAGAGATCATGATGGTATTCATGTTAAAGAGCTTTTTAAAGTCCGGAAATCATTGGTCTGTACAAGCTTCCATTTTCAAATAGTCATCCTAAAAAAAAAAAGAAATTTTCTTTTCCTCTCTTCTTTTTAGTTCTGTCATTTCATTTCAGCTAGCTCATCCAAAACGTACAGATAATTCCAAGCAAATGTTGCAATCGAGCGTGAATCAACAGAATTTTTGGGGAAAGACTTTTTATGGTAAAAAAATTCCCTAAGGAATATGAGAAGAGAGAAGCTGTGAAGAAAAGTTAAGTTAGGATGAAGAGGAGAAAGAAAAGATGACAAAGTACATCCAACACAATATTAACTTTTAACTCATCATTCTTAATAATGATTTGTTATACATACAGCATTGCCATATTTGATACAAATATTCTGAGACAGAACGAAGACGATGGACAGACGGACAAATGACTGAATTTGGCCGGAAAGAGTTCGTGACATACTACGAGAAGAATGTGGGCAATCAGATTGCTTCCAAAATGAGAAACATTCAATAGATTCCAAATATTTATTTCAACTTCTATAATTCGTTCACTGCATTGCTTGTTGATGATCTGGAGCAAATGGTCCTGTACCGAATTCTGTGGGTCCTTGTTCGAAATTAAAATTGAAAGACATCTCTCTGTCGCGGAGAAATTGATAAAACGAGTAAATTATCTGAAAATTCTCAGAAAGTTATCAGCTAATATAACAAATAATAAACCTCCAGGAAGTAAGCTTGGATAAAACCTCCAATACAGATACAGATGATGAAGAGAACAGTAAAAGCTGCTAAAGCTGAAAAGGACAAAAAGATGCCACGTACTATTGAAAATCCACGTGAAGCTTCACGTAAATGATACGTGTCATTGATTCATTTTGACTTTTTTTTTCATCAAACACACTCATACACTCATCAACATACAGACATACGAACAGAACGGTTGTGTTCACAGACCTGCATCCAATTGTTGTTGTGAAACATTAATATCGACGTTTCCTACATCTTGTGCCAACTCAATGACCATATTGGAATGAACAGCAATGGAGATGATGAAAGAAAGAAGAATTATTATCGATAATCCAACGGCTATGAGCTGAAATGTGAGAAAATTATATAATTTAACAAACAAACTAATTACTTGAAAAAGCATATATGGCATTATATAAAGTCTTTTTTCCTTATAAACTCCATAAAATAAGCTTCCGAATATGACAACAGAGAAAGATGCACTGTAATATGCCATAAGTTATATATAATTAGGCATAATTAACCTCATGATGGTATAAACAGCAACAGTGCTACTTCTAGTTAAGCTGAATATGATGTTAATTGCTGTGAAAACATTAGTTAAGACAGCCACAGCTCGAGCGCCTTGCTATAAAAGGACATCATCAAACCATTTTGAATAATAATTAAAATATTTTACTCTGATATGCAAGACTCCGCATAAACATTTGTATTTTGGATCATTTTGATCAAATGGAGGTCGGCTCATCTCAACAGTCATAGTTGATTGAAGATAACTTGACTGATAGTTAGAATATCGAATATATAGTATATGAAATGATGATCAAATGACTGTGATGATGCTTTTTCGGATGGTTGGGGAGTAGAGAGGGGAATGGAATTGGATATGAAATGAAATGCATTAAAATGATTTGTTGACGCAGTTGTTCAAACACATATTCATACAGATAGATAGATAGAGATAGAGACTGTTATTCAGATTGACTCCTAACCTTAACCATATGATATCACAATGTTGACAACTTATATTATAATTAAGAACTACATAACGTCACTTACACACATACACACATACAAACCCATGCATAAGCATATTCAAATCGTCCTCATTAAGGAAAGTTTGATTAGTTCTCTAAGGATTATAAGGTTTTTTACAAAAACAAACATCTTCTACTTCTTTTTCTTATTTTATCACCATTTCCTCTCTTTCATTCACCAAATAACGCACTCACGTGGAAATTACGTGGAAAAGTAATGAAGTTGAAATAATTTCGTCTAATTTGCATAAAAGTTTTCGAAACGTCATTAATGACGTGAAATGACCAATTTCCTTTATTTAAAAGCTTTTATGAAAACTTTAAATTAAAATGACCAAATGTCTTAACACAGAAGTGAGAAAGGGAGAGCGAAATTTTCGAAATCTCATCTCAGTACTTTGACATCTCTTTGAATGATGCCCTTGTTCATCTGTCAATTCTTCTTCATAAAAAGATATACATCATTGAAAGGTGACAAATGACTTCAAATTTCAACCATTTTTGGTAGAAGAAGCTCATTATCTTCTCCCTCCTCCCCCACCTAGTCCAACCTCTCGAAAGCTTTCGTTGGTCCCATGAGAAAGACTAAAGCTTTCACAACTCCGCCCCATTTTAATCCTTTCACTTTTTCCATTTAGTTTCGTCTGTTCCCTCGTAAGCACGTTGCCAACCTTCCTCGTCCACCACCACCCCCTACCTCTCAAGAAAAAACGAGAGAAAGATTGTTTTGCTACTTGATAATTGACCAAATTAGATTTTTTTACGACAACAGATTCGTCTCCGTTTTTGTGTGTCTTCAGAACTCCCCCCTCCTTATCTTATTGAATCTCTTTTTTTGTGCTTCACTATTGGAGGAAAGCTCAAGAATCTTTCAAACAAAACTTCCTTAAAAGCTGATCTGCTGAGCTTTCATACTATCCGCCTGAAAGCTTAATTAAACAAGAATATTCAAAATGAATCTGTGCTCGAAGGGCGATGGTGTGAGTTACGTGCCAAGACGCCAGCTGCAAACATCTTTTTTACTTAAATCTTAACATTTAAATGTTAATATTTAATTAAGCATATGCTTTCATCATCATAACAACCGTTCACTTCTGTTTCATAAATCATATGTGAACAATTTCCACGTGAACTATCACGTGAAGTAAATTTGCATATAACGTTCAGATGAGTTGGTCAAGCTGATCTTTTCCAATCGAATGACTTCTCCTCTTCAATTAATTTTATTTTTCATTCATTTCATTTCTCCCCCTCTTCTCTTAATAATCTTCTTAGCCTACGGGCTATGAACTTGAAGTACAATCATCTCGTGCGCCAACTTAACTTCAATTTATCCGCTGAAATTATGAATAAATTAAAAAATTTCAAGTTTACTTTCATTTAAATGATGTTATTGTCTATTCAAAACAAGCTTCTGCGATATAACCTTGCCTATTTACAGATTTGAACTATGAAGACGTTCTTTGGCTGCGTATTCTCTCTATTCCTTCTCATGGGTTAGTTCAGGAACTCAAGTTATCATGATATCATATCTATTTTAAGCATTCGTTCCATCATCTGAACAACAAGCTTTTCTTAATCCATATTTGTCCAACTTAGATCAACCGGACTATAAAGGAGCACATCATGTTGCAGCATTCATGCCCTACCAGAAGAAATGGTCCCGCTTGGAGCCATCCATCCGGTAAGATCATACATTTCTTTTACATTATATCATCATTTCCTCATTTAAGCTTCTTCAAGCGATCAGGAGCTTTTGAAAACATGCCACAGATAGTCTGATGTGATAAAGAACATCAGCAGCTGAAAAGCAATTTCCCTCTTTTTTTTTTGAAGAATTCTCTTAAAATATTGTTTGTAAGTAGTAAAAAATATTTTTTTTGTATTTATTCATTGAGCAAGAAGAACAATACATGATGAATTCATATCGTTGCAAATAAAATTTGTACACAAATCATCATAAATTATGTTCCATAAAAGGCAATTTGACACTGAATCTTCATCAAGATTGATATGCTCCTCAAAAAAGATTATTTGTCACCAAAAAGTTGGTGTGGAACACTCACTCTACACCCTTCCTCCATCTCATCGTTGCACAGCCCTGCACTCCCTCTCCCTGCTTTCCCTCCCTTCACACCCACATGCTTCTCTTCTACCACAAACATTACTGAAAGTAAGGAAGAGAAGCATAAATTCAAAATTACTTTTCATTTTGTAGTTTAATGGACATCAAATAAGGCCAGCAGACATTTGATCCTTGGCTTAACCTTTTTGAGATTTCAGAAACCTTCCTGACGTCACAGGCAAGACTAGCCTTTGCGAGAAGAAAAAAAAACTTTGTTCCTCTCCCTCCATTCTCATTTTCTATTGCTGTTCGAATTAAAGCCATCTATGGTACATAATGTTTATTCAAAGAGATTTTATTTATTTCTGAGATCATTAAGTGTCATATACAAGAAGTCAAATGTACATAAATAGAATCTGAGAATCTTTTCTATAAACTACCAATGTTACACGTATTAATGACTAATTCACATTATCGATTGATTATCTATCACATCAACAGTTTTTTTAGAAAAAAAAAAGAAAAATTATGTTAGTTATTGAAAAAAAAAGTTAGTAAAACCCTTATAAGGCTAGTAAAAATTGACACCTGAGCTTCGATTGGCTCGTATATCTTCCATACTTTCCCATAATGCAGATTCAGCTAATTGATTAGCCAATTCTTCGGCATGAGCGATTATCGAAACCTTGAATGAAGAAGATGAAGATGAGAACTGAATTGGATATAAGTATTACTTGTCGTTTGCCCATTTTGTTTCCATTTGAATCTTTCTTCTTTAAAGTGCCGCCCGCATTTTTAGGAGATGTATAAGCCTCACCAATCCGTGATATGGCCTAAGTGAATTATTATTATATAAAATATTCATTGAATACATGAGTTTCATCCATTTATGGATATACAACTTACTGATTGAACACTCGTCGGCTTCCCTAATGATATAGCTTCTATCTTTCCTATTCCTTCTGCTTTGGCTCTAATATGAACCCAGAACATGGCTAATAAGGCTATTACTTCAATGCCACTTATGAAATAAAAAAGGAAGCCAGCAGACCAGGGGACCGTCGCTCTGAAAGACAAAAGCCTTAGCAGAAGTCAACAACTTCTAGCCTTTACCGGTAAATATTGGCGAAAATAACAGTGGAAATGATGAAAGCGACATCAGTTCCGATTCCAAATAACGAAAAAACACGTCCAATTTCTGATTGAGGGATAAGCTCAAATATGAATCAATTATATAATTTTAGAATAATCCAATTACTTGAGCAACAAATGAAACAGCAGCTGGTTGAACTAGCCCACTGAATATTCCAGCAATATTAGCTATATACATCATTAACGTATTAATAGAACAAGCGATGAATAAAGTTCGAAGACAAGAAGATAACAAGCCTGTAAGTTTATGCTAATTACACTCATTAGGTCACGCTTCTTCACGTCAATTCATTTTGCAGCATCAACACGTGATGTACGGTTGAATTGGTGAAGATGGCGGAACATGAACGAACCTATCAATATAATTGTAGTTTCCCGTAAATGTAACATTTTTTTAAAAATAAATAATCCGCCTAAAGTTCCCATGAGAGCTGCAAGTTTAAGCTTCAATGTGCATCAATAATTTCAAACCCACATATGATATATCCTGAGCCATTCCATAAGCCCAGATCTGAGGCATCCCAATCTAAAGCTGTCTCTTCTGTTCTTCGAAATACAAAACTTGTAATAATTCCACCTCAACAAAGAAATAATATTTTGAACGTTGAAATATGATAAAAACAAACTTGTTCTCGTTTCTGCAGACGTTGTTAAACTTATAATTAATACAAATATCGTAATGAACATAAAAGCTCGACGATGGCCATCGCGTTTCTTGCTTCAATGGGAATGTATCAGATGAATCGTTATTTCAAATCAATATTTACATATAAATGCTGAAACCTGACTGAAGAAGCTGGGCCATATCCCCCAAAAATTTCCGTAACCTTCCCCCCACTGATTCCACCTTCTTAGCATTTCCATCTACTGGCCGTATAGCTCGACCTACAAAATCGATAAATCTCATCGGACACGAAACAGTTTAAATACTTGTTTTACGGTCAATCTCATGTAAACCAGGCTTTTGAGGGATTCTCCATAGCGTATAGAGGAAAGCTAATAAGAGAAGAAATAGCTCTATATCGATTGCAACAGGAATTGAAATCTTAAATGAAACTTGTTGAAGAAAATGTATTCTGTACGCCGTCCAACTCCAGATGCAACAGCTGCAGCTATAAATGCTCCAAGAGCACTGGCCAATATTTGGAATGAACTGAATATTCCACTACGTATGGTGAGTTCATTCCAATCATCTGTGGTATCAGCCAGATAAGCGTTACAAGATACAGGAATCTGAATAAATATTTTATCTTATTGACCTTTATCATCTATCAATTGATCTAACCATTGAAATAAAGCCTGTCATACCAGCTAAAGCTGAAAATATCAAAGTGGTCCAATAAGGTGTGGCCAAATATGAGAGTGTTAATAAGAAACCAAATTCTGACAAAACAATGCCACAAATTCCAAGTAATATATTAGTTTTTCGACCATTTTTGTCCCCATAAGCACCTATAAAGCCCACATGGGAACTGTTCTATGATAGATATTACCTAATATGGTATCAGCAAATATAGCAGGGAATAAATATGCTAATACATGGAATAAAGACCATAAAGCAGTATGTTGCTGAACATTCTCTTCAACACTCTCTGATCTGCAAAGATGTTTTCACTATGATTAAAAAAAATTTTTTTTGAAAAACTGACGTGATGCTGGCACAGCTGACAGTGCTATCATCTCCATAGTATATTTCACATATTCTTTAAGAAGATTAATCATTAGCAAATGATAATGAACAAGTATAAAACCTTTTATAAATTCCAGGTGCTTGTATTGTACTTCCAAAGACGACACCAATTGATATGAGAAAGATAATGGGTTCAACGGTCACATTGCGTATTCGAAATTTCATTTGAGCCCATAGTTTTGACCACTGTGTGACCATCTGAAGCAGAATCAGCAAATTGTTAAAAATTAAAATAGAAAAAGAAAAAAAAAAGAAGATGAAGATTACATAATGAAATCAATTGAATCTTTATCAAACAAAGATAACAATCCATATCAATAGATGATATAACTATTACAATTATTATAACAACATAATAAAAAAATGACAAAAAAAATATATTTTATTGTATATATATAAATTTATATATAAATCAATAATTTTTTTCATATAATTTATGTTTGTCTATAGTTTGAACTCAGGCTCTTCTCACTCTCAGAGCATATGTAACCACGTGCTTCACACGTGTAAACATTGTAATTAACGTGTAATTAGCATAACACAAAACAATAAACGAGATTTTTCTTTCTTTTTTTTTTGTTTTAACTGAAGCTCAAGTAGAAACTTAAGTGACTGGAAAACAAGCTTAAAAAATAAAAAAAATCAACAATCAACGACATGGTGGTCGTTTTATCTTCAAAACAGTTCAAACATTCACTTCATTTAGCAAATAATTTATAAAATTGATCTGAGAGACAACAAAAGGAGAAAAAAGGTTAGCAAAACCAATTGAAAACGATGACCTTGTATGGAGACTCAAATGATATTGATCTTCGCATTTCACTTTCTTTTCTCAAAACTGATGTTTACTTCTAGCTTTTCCGGATAATTTCTTAACCGAAAACGGAAAATGAAGTTCTTTTCGTATAATGGTTTACAAGTCTCTCTCTCTCTGTCTTTCTATATATGTATACACACATATATATTTATATATATATAAATGACGCTTTGTCTGTTAACAGGTTGTCGGTTATCATCTACTAACGCTCGTTCTCATGACGATGTCGACCAAAATTCAGATCAAACGGCTAGGAAATCAAATGTGTCTCAAGAAATACAGTGATTGATGTTACATTAACCGGTTAAAATATACGAAAACGTATTAGAAAGTTAAAAAAAATAAAAATTACATTGTTTCATTCGAAGAGTCAATGATTGAAATGAAAGATCGACCCACCATGTCAAACAACCGATCATTGTCTTTAGCCAAATAAAAAATGAGGACAAACCTCAACGTCAAAAACGTGTAAAACGTGTAAAAAATGAAATTAGCATAATATAATAATAGTTGGTTATAAGAAATAAAACAAAGTATGTCTATGAGAGAGGTATGTAGAAGGGAAGAATATGTAGAGAGAGAGAAAAAGAAATAAAAGGAAGAGAGAGAGAGAGAGAGAGAGTGAGAGGTGAAAACAAGTTTTCTTTCAACAAAAAAATTGACATAATCGCCAGTCTTTATCGAAATTCTTTTTGATTTTTCAAGATTTTTGACTCTTTTACTATACGTATAAATGAAGGAAATCAATAGAATCGCTTTTGAAATGAATTGATAAGAGATTGAATTGAAAGTGAAATTTGAATATGATTGAACTGGATATTGTATCCTAAAAAAGGGATAATTAAAACTAGAATATAACTGTTATTCAGATGAAAAAAGGAATATTTACATTATCTTATAAGATTAATAAGTTCATTCAAAGTTCAAAAAAGAATTGTTCAAATACAACTATGTAAATAGGATGATAGCCATGTTCACTAATTCTATTTAATTTATTCATGTGACGTAAAAAAAGGATTTGACAGACCCTCTTCACTCTCTGGTCGACAATCATTTTTATACGAAAATAGGTTGTCGTTATTGCCAAAGTTTCAACAACATGAACAAGTTTTCCGAAATTGTCGAAAGTAACAAAGGGCTACGTATGCATTCTTAACAACACGTCAAATCGTTTTTTATTTGAACATGCGGAAGTTATCCACTCGGCATGTACATCATCATCTGTTTTTATGGGTTTCAAAAAGGTATGACTCGAAGTGTAGGAGTCGAACAGAAGCAGCTGCAAACAAGTCTGTGAATCAGAAAATGTTTTGGTCGAATATAGATTCTATAGACTGTTTTGCATAATTTCCGATCAAAGAATGGCTCAACGATCAGTCGAGGGTAATGCGCAAGTATGAGGTATCAGTCGTTCACTCTTATTTTTTTTGGATCATTATAGAGAAGAGGAGCGATGTCGAGGTGCACATGAACCTAGTCAGGTCCGAAATTCTTAAATTCGAATAGAATGAAACAATTTGTTTTTGTGATGATAGAATGATGGTTAAACGAAAATTTCAAATTATTAAATGGTAAGATTGATCACACAGTTGTCTTGAATGACAAACTATACATTTCTTACATTGCTCAAATAAAATTAAATATTGATTGATTAGGTTCTACACAGTTGAAGAAGAAGAATATGATTCTGAAGTTTTGTCATGGATTAACAACTTACAGTTCAAACAGAAGAGCACTTGCATTCCGAAGAAGTTACAGAACGCATGAAGGTAGAGATGAATATCCTTGTCGGACCAGCCCTCGTCCAACATGGGAAACTTTCAAAGTTGCAAAATAAACTTACTGTCTTATCATTAATAGTACTGTTTCTAAGACACAACTTTATTGTTTTCAGCAACGCTTATGAAGTTGATGTTCACAATTTCAGATTTCTAAGGGAATTCAAAAAAAACTTCTCGAAAAACAAACAAGAAGATCGGAAAAGTTAGTTTCTTTTCTTTTCGCAAATGTTTTTCTCTTCTTTTGATTTTTAGATTCTTGAAAGATTCTCAACCTTCGCAAAGTGAAATGAAGTTGTTTTGTTCTTCGAAAAGGACCTTTCATCAGGAATACAACCTCTTTGTGTTGCCTTATCATGACAGCCATATGTATGTTCCTGAAGGAATACCAGGTTTCGCTTTCATGCGGCATAACACCTAGATTAGTCTTCTTCCAAATTTAATTGGTTGGAATGAGATGAAAGAGTTATGTTCATGAAGCAAGGCTACGAACGAAAAAAACAAAAAATAGGAGGAAGTTTAATGATTTTTCTTACAGATAGCGTCTTATAGTTACTATACAAAAACCAATGAATGAAAAATGAAGGTTTTGTAGGGTCTGTAAACCTCCGAATACAACCCACATTCTCTTATCTGCTTCTGGAAAGAGCAATTTCCTTTCTATCATCACAACTGTTACGATGTTGTATTGTTTTCAATATCGAATTTGTATCCACAAAGCTATACAGGAGAAAGCTATTATTCAACAGAGTATGTTTATATCATGAGAGTTATGAAAAGATTTTTCGATTTGGTTGATCGAAATTGATTTTCGGTAAATTCTTTTATTAAAAAGTATTACTAATGGTCTTCAGGTTTATATACAGAGGAGCTCTCTTTAGCGCCCACTCATCTAACAGTTTGTATCAATCAATCATTGTTCAACTTTTCAGTCTAAAAATGTATCATTATCATCGGAATGATTCACATTTTAGACGTATCTTTGGGAACACCGTGGGTTTTTGAAGTTTTAATTTGTTTGTTCATGATCATCTTGTCGAGGCTCAATGTTCAGATCATCTTTCGCTGAGAACAAAAGAAAAGATATCTACTAACGCTACGAAGCATAGCATTATGTACGTTTTGTGCACAGACATGGAATAGTTCAGTTACCCAGGAAATTCAAAATGAAAAGTCTCAGTCTCAAAATGTCTCAATAACTCAAAATATGATCTTTAAAAAGGTGTTGATGTGTTCCTCTATCACGAACTAAACGCTGTAAAGTGCACTTAGAACTACATATGTGTTAGAAGGAAGTTAAAACTGAATAACTCATCAGAAGACGTTGTTATACTGATAACAATGAGAAATTGCTCAGAGTATGGTATTCTTGACTAATAAAGTTCAATTAACAAGATAATATGCCGTTCTATCCACTTACATTTTGGTTTCCCCGTCTTGCTCGTACCATGTACAACAATGCGTACAATTTAATACATACGGATTCTCGGTTGCTAAAATTTGTTTTTTTTTGTATTTTTTCTTCGATGTTTCTCGAATTTCTTTTGGTGACTGTGCTCAACTGGCAATACTCCTATGCCGTGATCATATTCTAAAGACACGCGAGATTTTTTGTTTAAAGTTTGAACATGACCGGTGTTGCAAGAAACTGAACGACTGAAAAATGATAGTGAAAATTTTCATTTTCATCGATAGAAAGCTTGTCAAACGGTAGTGCTTTTCATTTCATTGCTTTGTTCATTTGTGAGTGAGC